TACTGCCCACTGCCATATTGTGTTATGTGAAGGGCACCCTAGACATCGGGCTTTAACTTTTTGTAGTGGCAGTGTGTCGTCTATCACCGCCTATTCTGACGCTGACTGAGCTGGCTACCCTGACTCTTCGTTTTCCACTTTTGGCTTCTACTTGGCGACAATCTAGTGTCTTTGTCCTCCAAGCGTTAGACTACGGTGCCCAGCTCCAGTGCAGAAGTATAATATCGAGCGATTCCATATGAAATTTATGTTTGAAATTCTCGTGGTTTGAACTCTAATTTGATGTGAAATTTACTAATGAAGTGAAATTTCATGTTGAAGCAGATTAGACATCTGACAATATGAGATTGAGAGTTGTCTTGTGCATCAGAACAGTCTAGTCCTATTATTACTAGAACTGGATTAGTTTGGGCCCGTATATTATTCAATCATCTATAGAGTTGGGATAAGAAGCGTAGCTATGACTTTTGAAATGTCATAGGTGAACCATATCTCAATTAGATGTCATGCTGGTTTAGGTAGGTTAATTCCATTAGACTTGTTAATCTAGTCCTTAGCCAACATTTGCTTTATTGCTTTCATTAGTATCACCCTAACTACATGAGCATATGAATTTCTTCATGCAGCCCTTACATCATAGCTCATGAGTTAAAACTTCCAAAATCACACATACCGCGTTGTTGATCCAAGCAACTCTGCTCACCTACTTGTTATATATATTCCCATGCTCTAGTTATTATATATATTTCCATACTCATTACACCATTGTGCCTACTGCATTTGTTCAGATGGTCCGAAGATATGCCATGCTACTTGCCAAATGAGTTGAGATATTAGAAGATGCTGAATGAATCTATTACCCATAGATGATGTCACGATAATTGAGGTTTTTGTGGTGTGCCTCATGCCACAACCACACGCGTTGGTGCCGAGGCGCAAGGGTACAATGGTTCGTGATAGCATGAGGCACGATGGGTGATTGCTAAGGGTTTCATAGTCTATGGCAGGGTGACATCCTCTTCCTAATTTCTCTTGCTTCTGTTGCCTCCTAGCTTTTATGGTGCCTACGAGAGTGGTTCTATTTGACAAATGCCAACAACATTATGATATCCTGTGCCCACCATGCAACCAACAAGCAACAACATGTGATCAAAGGGTTGGTTGAGAGATAAGTTAGTAGTAGGGTTGGGGTCTTTCATATGTCATAGGATTGATGTTTCCTGCCAAATATGAAATGTATAACCACCACTAGTTCACCACACAACAGATTCCCTTTACATTCCACTAGTTGACATGCGGCACAAATTTAATGGTAGGTACAATATAATGCTAATAAGTTTGCAACGGTTGAGTCATGTGTTTGTAAGCAAACTTTCCCACATTTAACAAACCAATCCAAAACAACAAAACCAAAAGAGAAAGAAAACAAGGAATTTTAGCATAAGGTTTTCCAAGACTTTCTTCTCGTTGTGCTCAATCAAAACAGAAATCAAACAAGAGATGCGCTCGACCAAGGAGTCATGGGGCTAGCTCTTTTATCACACATTCTCATATCCTTGATGTGTCTTTGCCTTGGTGGTTGTGGCATCCTATATCTGGAGGTCTAGTATGTTTGTAGGTTTAGTCTTTGACTGGTGCTTTGCTTGTAGATCGCGCAGTTGCCTTTGGTATATTTGTGTCATGAGTTATAGGCCGTTCTTTTGTTGTGAATTGCTGATGTATACTCTTTATTGTTGTTTGATGGCTGCAAAACTCTTCACTCCTTAATGAAAAACTGCTAAGCATGTTCCAACAAAGTTTAGCATGAAACAATGAGAACATACAATGTCATTTAGGGTGATCGTAAAAAATGTTAGCTTCTGTGAAGTTTAGGCTCTCTCTCGCATGTCCATGACTTTTGTTTGTCGTCCACTCTCACTTGGGTCATACCCTATATGCAGGGGCGGATATAGCATCTGCGCGTATGGGCTCGAGTTCTTATCGTTGCTTGTAGCATGTATACCCTCCTAAACGAACACATATAAATTTTTAGTCATGGAAGCTCTTAAAAAACAGACTACATTTAGAATACGAGATGAAAAAGCCCTCCTAGCAATGTTGTTCTATATCTACCCTTTCTATATGTGCGCCTTTGACATTTGTGCTTAGATGGTACGGTAGTGCAACATTTAATTCAGTTATGTCGTGTAATTTTCTCCAATATGTGGGTTATGGGGTCTTCTTCTTCATGTTGAAATTGAAAGCCACCACTATTCCCCATCTTGCTTTGGATGGTGAACGTGGCTGCTGATAAGTGATACAACTACTTATATTTTGTCCTGACATTTCAAACTACAGCCAAACTGTCAAATGCGATTGAAGCTGGCCGAAGTCAAATATGAATTCTAATAATATAATAAAAAAGAATCTAAATCCATTTTCAAAGGCCAGATCAAGATTAGGGAAATACGTAATAATAAATTGGGGTCTAAAACTATGGAAACTCCTTCCAAAATGCACCATTCAAAATTGAACCTTTATGTTGGGCTAGTTGGAAGCCCGACTGGGCAGCCCACTCGAAAGAGGGTTGATGGACTCCCATAAAGCCGAAACGGACCCATAACCATAGAACCAAAGGGAGGAAAAGAGAGGAAGGGAAAGGAAGGGAGCTCAGTCGCTGACAACGCCGGCCAGGGGCGAAGCCAGCTCAAAACCAACCCTGGTGCACACTCTATCAAACATAAAGGAATGTGTACAATTTCAAAGGAAATACATGGAAAATTTAAGGTAGATATTAGCAAACTTTTATTTTACCATGGTGCACGTGCACCAGGGAAAGCCAACGTGGCTTCGCCCCTGACGCCGGCACCAGCCACCGCCCCGGTATCCACGCCTCCGCCAACGGCTTCGCTTGCAAGGTCGGCACTCTCCCTCTCCCCCCTCCCTCTCTCTCACACCCCGCCACCCTATGAATTAGGCCCTATTTTCCACTCTCTTTTTTTCTGGGTCCATTTCTTGTGGTTTCTTAACCAATCCGAGAAATCGTGCGGCGTATTTGTTCTTGAGGTCCGGGGGGATCTCCCGACTCGAGCTATTGTAGTCTGGTTTCCTTAGGATTTTGGTGTACTTGTGAGGTGTATGGAATGGAAGAACCCTAGAATCAATGCACCTAATTGGTTAGTGACCGAGCAGACGTAAACGGATTTATGCGCCATAACTGATGTGGCTACAATAAAAGACTCGACTTTGTTGTAAAAAAAAAGACTCGACTTCGATGCTTCGTGGTAGTCTCCAACATAAATTTTGATGTTGTGTGTAACTGTGTATAGTTGCCACGGTTCCTCTGCAAACGGGAACTGGTGGTACGTCTTGGTTTAATTAGATTGGGGATCTAATGCTTTTATTAGAGACGAAGAAGTTTTGGTATTTTTTCATGTAAACAAATGTTTTAGCTTCCTGGATGGGTCTTCAACTTTGATTGTTATTCTGTAGTCCACTTTAATAAATGTTGCTCTGCAGTCACAGTGCCATGCCCAACGCTCCACCGTGGAGTACTACCCCAACTTTCACCTATGCATTCAGTGTCCAAATCATCAAGAACATTAGCCTCGCAGGATGTCATGTTCTCTTGAAGAGAACAAAAAGTTTGAAGCAGCCATATGTTCCTGCGTTGTGGTATAAAAAAGCTGAAGAGCTTTGGACAAAAGCTGAGCACGGTAGCAGGACGATGGCAGAGGACAAGCTGCTGCTTGCGTTGAGAGGCTATTGGCCTCAACTCATTTTGATCTAGGTGGGGTATAACTTTATACCAAGACTAACACTAGGTGCTGCCTGCACTGGTGGTGCCCTAATCTCTTTAGATTCAGAAACAAAAAAAAAAGTCACATAACGTATTCGTTTTGACATATTACACACCGGGCTTTGACTCGCTAGTGCTGCTGATTTCCTGGCCCCTTTGGAAAGAGTGTAATCGACGCGTGTTCCGGGGCGAATCCAAACAGCCGCATCAACTACTGCTGCTCATCTTGGAGGATGCCAACACCTGGATTCAGGCCGCTAGCGCTACTGCTCGTGTCGGCTGTTGTCTAGGCTGCTTAGTGCTTTGTCGCCAATCTTGTGCCATGTAATCACGCGTATGTATGATGGGGGTTTGCAAGGAAAGGAGTGTCTTCGGGATACATCTTGCATTGCTGTGGCACTACTTTGCCTTGGTTGTATGATCTTGCTATCTCCTTTCCTCTTAATGAAAAACTTGCGCTACGGCGCATGTTCGCAAAAAATATTACACAATGGGCATTTATGCCATTTGAACAACCTTCCTTGGTATCTTTCACGTGACGATCCGGTAGGATACCAGGAAATTAGGTAGTTCAATTGGGGACCGTTAAACAACCTTCTGCGCACACCATCAGAATTCTAATTCGTATCAGTGTATATTGTTGTTGTTTTCAGGATACCTGTGGGCATATGGCATAGCTAATATCAAGCAGTGAGTATAGAAACTCTCCCTGGCACCTAATCCCTACATTCTTTTCTTACTCTGTTCATTTTGCACGACCATTCTCTTCTCGACTAAAATCAGGCCAACAAATTGTGTCATGCAGTTGTTCTGTGGGGTTGTCTTTGTCTCTTGGAAGTTATCTGCCTGTTTCTCATTTTGTATTCAATTCATGCATCTAATTTATGTATGTATTGAATTCACTTTTGCTGCAGTGAGTCTGCCATCATGCAAAGCCCTATCACAATTCACAATATCTGGCACCTCTGCCTCCACAGAGACAGCCCCTGCTACATGTGGGATTCAAGGGTGGGCTGATCTCTCCCTGGAGGCCCGCTCCAGTCTATTGTTGCCCTCCTGGGCTCCTTCAATGACCTCCTTGCCTTCGCAAGCACCTGCCGTTCTTGGCGTGCTGCCTTCTCGTCATACCCATCCAAATCCAGGTTCTATGCCTTGCCCTCACCTCTCCTCGTTAGGCCCCCAATATCCCCGTGCGTGCACCTGACGGTCACGAGCTGCACAGATGGCAGGTCATTGATCTAGCCAATCCAAAAACAGATCTTTGCTGGCAGATTCCTCAAGAAATATTTAAGGAGGCAATGCATTTCGCCGGCTCCTCTTATGGTCAGCTAATATGAGGCCTTCGCAAAGATTGCCTCACTGTCGATGTGTTCACTGGGGCCGGCCAGAGTTTGGGCACTGCAGCTCAAACTTAACGATGACACTTTTTTCAACTCTGGCATGCTGACAGCTCCTCTTGCACTACAAAACTCTCACCTCCTTGTCTGTGTAGTATCCAGCCAGCACAGCGTTCCGGCCTCCCTTCTTGACTGGTCAGTTGGAAGTGATTCTTGGTCAGAAATGCAGCTCGGTAATTCACTGATCGAGCAGATTGTCGAGTTCAACGGTCAGTTCATCGCGATGGACAGCTACTACAGGCTCTACACTGTCCTTGGCAGGGGCGGAGGCAGCTGTATGGCGAGGTTTCGCGGCCGCCATACCTAAAATGTATACAAAACACTAGTATATATACTGTATATACGTGAAACCGTCCGATCCCCTGTTGATGACACGGCCGCCATCCCCTGCTGATGACCTGATACACGGATGGATTTTGTAATTTGTGAGCTGGTATCTCATGGGCCTACGTCAAGACTCAAGAGCCCACGGCACTGTAGGTGGTGCCAGGAGTATCCACAATCAAGCAAAGACAGCATATGAAGATTTCAAAAACCAAAGCTCAAGTCTAAAACATAAGGTCACTTCTACTACAAAAGAAGGATAAAAATATTGTTCAAAGCCATGTCTTTGGTTACAGATGTGAAATCATGCTTGGTCAACTTGAGAGCTAACGATTGGGAACCACTATTTGAAGATGTCAAAACCTTTTGCAATGAAAATGATATCCTAGTACCAAATATGGATGAAGCTGTGTCAAGATGGGGCCGATCAAGAAAAAGGGGGAGAAATAACATCACTCAAGATCATTTTTCAGTGTTGATACATTCTATGCAGCTATAGATGCTATCACCACCAAGCTAGATCATCGCTTTAATGACATGACTTCAGATTTGCTTCTTGGCTTCGCTTGTCTTGACCCAAGAGACTCATTTGCCAAATTTGATGTGGACAGAATTGCTAGGCTTACTGATATCTATGATGCAGATTTCTCCTAGGATGATCGTAACTGTATAAAAACTGACCTCCAATTATTCATCAACCACATGAGAAGGCATGACGAATTTAGAGTTTGTTATGATCTTGCAAGCCTAGCTAAAAAGATGTTCGAACTTGAAAGAAATATTATGTTCCCTCGAGTTTATCGTATTATTGAGTTGAGGTTGCTACTGCCAGTGGCGACAGCATCGGTTGAGAGGGCCTTCTCAGTTATGAAGATTATTAAAATCGAGTTACGCAATAAGATGGCTGATGCTTGGCTTAATGACCTGATGGTGTGCTACATTGAGCGAGGCTTATTCAAGGGACCTGATCCTGCTGAAATTAAGAAAGAATTTCAAAAGAAAAAAAAGAATAATGCCATTGCCAAGGTCTGCACCCAAATAAAGCTTTATTGTGGGTATGTATTTGTTCCAACAACAAGATTTATTTAGTGAGGTATTTTATGTACCAATGCTTTACTTTTGGATTTTTGTTATATTTGCTGATCACATAGTAATATACATATTTAGATAATGTTCTAGTGTGTCCTTGCATAATTGATAGTTATATTATACATGTTCGACCTTTATAAACCCGCCACACCTAGAAAATATTCCTACCTCTGCGCCACTGGTCCTTGGCCCCCTAGCTTGGTCGATCTGCAAGAGATGATAACTGTGTCTTGGGACAACAACGACATGCATGGATGCCCATTTCGAAGGCCATGGCTGGTGGTATGTAGCGGCATGCTTCTAATTGTTGACTACTACTTGAGCGTAACATCATCTGGAGCACTTGTCAACTACAAAGCCTACCTCCTGGACATGTCCACTGAACCTGCAACTTGGCTGGAGGTGGTGAAGCTGGAGAATGATACCGTGTTTATTGCGCGGGTGATGGGAGGAGCCCGGTAATCTCTTGCTTGAGCTCAGGACGATGGGGCGGGAGAAGCAACTGCCTGTACTATGCCCATGACAGGCAACCGTGGGTCTTGCATGGGCTGGGTGATGATGCAGATGCCGTTTGGGATGACTCCACTGACCCTGACCTTGAGTTTTGCAGGGGCTGGTACAGCGAGCTTCAGCCATTCTGGGTGTACCCGAGCATGTTCTACTCAGATGGGTAGTGATCCTTGCCTGCCTTATGTTGCTGAAATTTCGCCTTCTGTGTTCTTTGGGTAGCGAAGACTTCTGCATCTGAATAGATGATGCCACTATGTGATATTGTATTTAAAAGAGGTTGTTTAGCACTTTTCTCGTTGATAATTGTGACCCCTGTTTGCTCGAGCCTTCTCCCTAACTGAATGAGGTTTTTAATATCGTGTGTAGTTGAGATTTCATTTTTGTCTATGTTATGACCGGCATCCCCTATGCCAGGCGCAGGCCCAATAGTGGCAAGGGGGCTGGTCTGTTAAGGGGCTTAGAGGCCCAATTTATCGCTTATTTGGTATTTTCTTAGAGATAGATATAGTTCCTTAATTATAGCATATATAGGGAAGGATAAATACTTGTAATCGGGGATGATTGGAATTAAGCAGAAAGCAACAATTAGGTTGCTGGCTTCCCTTGGGAGCCAGCCGTCCCTGCCCTCTCTCCCTAGTGTGAACAGTACCCCATGTTACTGTAGTGCTACGTGAACTCTAGGGCTGCAGCAGCAGCCACCACTATCACCGCCACGGCCCCTCGCCGACGTCGAGAGTACATACCTCGTCCTCCCCTCTTCCACCCCTATAACATGCGCAGCAACGCCGGTAGGGCATCAAGTCCTATCAGTCTAATTGCTAAGTAATGTGTGTTTTTGAAGAAAATGTTGATGTAGCTTTTGAAATATATATGAAGAAAAACCACGATGTCTACTCAGAGATCAGCTTTCTGTCTTTTTCCTGTTCTCTTTTGACTGAGCTGTTTAGATTAAGTTTTTCGTTTGGAATTCTGGAATTCAGATTTGTGGAAAGGAACTGGTGTGTGTGAGACCAATGTTTACAAGAATCAATCTATATATATTGTCAAAGAAAAAAAAAGAACCAAAATATAATTTGTAACGGTTGCCTCACAGAACAATGTGGAACTGGAATTGACGTGAACAAATTTATATTCTATAGTAAACAATAACTGAAGTCCAATTTCAACATTCAAACGCAAATCACCTTTTTTATTTTGGTATAAGAAAATGTGTATAGTCGCTCAAAATGAACGAGGGCATATATATACTTCCGAAACTAGAAGAAAAGCTATTAGACCATTTGTAAGCTTCATAATTTTGGCCCAGACTTCCAATAAGTGAAATCGCTACGGCCCTGGTCCAATTTTGGCCTATAAAAGAGAGCGTAGAGCAGAAGGGAGCGGGACTGGAGAAGCGGCACTACTGGAACTCTGGTAGTGAGGGAAGAGGAGATTGGGAAAGCGATCTCACCGCCGTCGCCTTCGCCGGCGAAAGCAGAGACACTGACATTATCGACGCCTGCTTCCTAAGCAAGGCCTGTACTCTCACTCTCTCCCTGCCTGATTTCTTTTTATTCTTTTTGCTTGGTTCATCCGCGCATCCTTGTCTCCTTAGTCCTTTGGTTCATCCGTGCATCCCTGTCTCCTAGTCCTTCAGTTTGTTGAACCAACCAAGCCGATAAATTGCGTCGCGTGTTTGTTGCTGTGAAGTGATCTTGAATCGAGCTATTTAGATTAGGTTTGCATTGGATTATGGTGTGATGGTAAGATGTACGGCAGGGGAAAACCCAAGTGCCAATAGACATGAATCCACGACCCAAGGACGCCATCCCAAATCGAGGGTTGGGGTTGAAAAGGGTCGATGTCCCAGTTCTTCTTGGGTCGTCGTTCCTCTGTAGTAGGAACATACCATGGATCCATGAGCTATATCGAAAAGCAGTAGAGACGATTGGAAGGGAAAATGATGGATCTTGTTTTTGCTGCAATGTAAGACGCAACTGACGTTGAAGAAGACTACCATAGAATTGGGGTGCAGGAGGCAGGAGCAGGAAACATAAAATTAGTCTGCCTCCAACAAAACTGAGAACACAAAAGAGAAGAGGAGACAATGGGTGATCGATTTTGCTAGTGTCTGCCTGCCTGGTGTGAGGAGTTGGTTGGAGGTGGTTGATTTCTGGCTGGCACGATAGGTGATCTGAAGGAGAGAGAGAAGGCTATATCTAACTGCCAGTGGAGACTCTCTCTTGTAGTCGGAAAAAGTCTACGTAACCCTCTCATCTATTGCGACTCGACTACTTCACCCCCTAACCTATAAACCCCCTCCCCTTTGCAAAACCGTTTTAAATAACCCCTATGGTGGTTTTGCATAGCGGTTTTGCCATGCCAGCGTGCTGAGGTGGAATTTGATGCTGATGTGGAAGATTGACAAGTGGGCCTGGCTTCTAAGTGGCGCCCCTTCTCTCACTGATAGATGGTCCCCACCCATCATCCCCAACCTCCAGCACCTTCTACCTTCCATCCGTGGGAGAGGGATCAGCATCCACTCTTCCAGATCTCGCTCGGTTACCCACGGTGATTTCTTGTTGGCTCCCGGCCGGCTTTTTCCGTGCTCGTGCAACTGAGGCGGCGAAGTAGAGAGATGAGCAGCAAGAAGGCGGAGGGCAGCAGCAACCTAGGGCTATGGCTAGGCGCGTCGGTGCGGGCGTTGTGGTGGGCGTGCGACTCGTACGTGCACAGGATGTCGGTGAGCGCGGGACGGATGCTGACGCCCGCGGGACGTATGGCGGCCGAGGCGGGTTTGCGCCAGGGACCATGGAGGCCTAGACGTTCAGCTCCAGCTCCCGGTGCCGCGGCGGTGACGATGTCAACAAGCTCGTCCACGCCAGGCAGCGGACGGACGCGGAGGCGATGACGTGGCGGCAGCGAAGTCGAAGGTCCCGGACTCTCGGTGCGTAGCCGGAGCGTTGCAGTGGGGCGGATCGACGAGGACGCACCGTGCGAGTTCGGCGCCAACGATGTCATGCGCGTCGCCAGCCCCGCTGTGCACAGGGCCCGCAGCGTCGCTGTGGGTAGCGCCGGCCTCGCCGCCCGCGCTAGGTACAAGCCGGGGCGTCGTGCGGGGCTGATCCGGAGTCCGGTCCGTTCGTCGTGTGCATCGTCGGTGCATGCAAGCAATGGCGGCACCAGCATGACGGCAACGTCCTTTCTTACGTGCGCATAGCTAGCTCGATTTCTTCAGTGTTCATTGCTCTTAGTACTAAAGCCGGTCGGGAACCAACAAGAAATTACAATGGGTAACCGAGCGATCTAGAAGAGTGGATGGTGATCCCTCGCCCGCCATCGATGGAAGGTAGGAGCTGGAGGTAGAGGATGACGGGTGGGGACCACCAATAGGTGAGAGAAGGGGCGCCACTTACAAGCAGGGCCTAGTTTTCACTCGTCCACATCAGCATCAAAGTCCACCTCAGCGCGCCAACGTGGCAAACCTGCTATGCAAAACCACTGTGGGGGGTTATTTGACCGGTTTTGCAAAGGTAAGGGGGTTAAATACCTGGTTTTATAGGTTATGGGGTGAAGTAGTCGAGTTGCAATAGGTGAGAGGGTTATGTAGACTTTTTCCTCTTGTAGTCCCTAATGTCTTTTTTTCTTGGTTCATTTGGCACATATGTGCCTTATCTTTGGTTTCTTATAATCCAAACTAAGCAAAGGAATTTCGGCAACATCATCCTCTGAGTTTTGATGAATGACCCCATAATAGATGGCTATGCCCCATGACTAACAATGCTATGATAAAAGACTCCACTTTTATGTTAATTTTTTTGGGGGGCAAAGGAGTCAACCCAGGATACTGAAAATATTTTTTGTATGACATTGTTGATCTGTGAAGGGTACACGAAATTGTATTTCAGAGCATAATAGCGCATTTTTTGCCATACTTTTAACCTTTGTTTCATGCTTCACTAAAGTTACTGCAGGCCATCCTAAATATCATGTTCTGGAAATAGACATGGGTTTTGGCTATTGGAAGAAAAGTTTGAATTGAAACCAGACTTAGATAAAAATTGGTTTTCCATTGTCAATCTGTCTTAGCTTGAACATTAGGATTTACCCGGCGAATAGAATTCCTTGTTTGTAACAGTGTATATCAACTTAAAAAGTAGCTCTTTTATAGCACATATTCTAAAATGTTTGCAGGTCACCTAAGTCTCTAGCAAGTTAACTGTCTATTCTTCATTTTTGAATCGATTCATTTCCAACTTGCTCATTTTTTTTACTTTGTTGCAGAGAGTCTGACATCATGCAAAGCCCTAGCAAAATCACACGTGCCTCTACCTCCACTACAATCCCTGTTGTGTATGGGCTTCAAGGCTGGGCAGATCTCCCAGAAGGTCTGCTTCATTCCGTCGTTCCTCTGTTGGGTTCCATCATTGAGCTCCTTGCCTTCGCCGGAACCTGCCGCTCTTGGCGTGCTGCCTTCTCCTCATACCCATCTAAATCCACATTATGCACCTTGCTCCCATCTCTCCTCGTCTAGCCTCATATCACTGTCCATGCTCCTAATCTACCCTCCAGAAGTGACGATGGTCACAAGCTCAGCACATGCCAGGTCGTTGATCCAGCCAACATGAAAAGTACCCTTCACTGGCAGGTTCCTGAAGAGACATTTGAGAAGTTGTGCTTTGCCGGCTCTTCCTATGGCCAGCTGATTTGTGGCTGTGGTAGAAATTGTCTTATCATGGATGTGTTCAATGGTGCCAAAGTTTTATCTCCACAGCTCCCATTTACCAACAACACTTATTTGTACTGTGGCATGCTAACAACTCCCCTTGCATCACCAAACTCACACCTCCTAGTTTGCGCGCTACCAGAAAAGAGCGGTCCGTTCCTGCTTGATTGGCTGATTGGAAGTGATTTTTGGTCAAAACTACAAGTCAATCTTAATGATTCAGTGATTGTGCAGATTGTGGAGTTCAATGGTCAGTTCATCGCGAGGGACAACTACCATAGGCTCTACACTCTGTCCTTGGCCCCCAGCTTGGTCTGCAGGAGATAGCAACTGTGTGGTTGGATGACATACATGGATACCCATATACACAGCCATCGCTGGTGGTATGTAGCGGCATGCTTCTAATTGTTCACTATAGCTTGAGCTTCGCATCATCTAGAGCACCTATCAACTACAAAG